CCCTTTTCTCCTTTTCGTCTGCTGTGGACCTTTAACCTTTCCTGCTTTGAAATATTATGGTCCCAAATAATGACTTTTCTGTGCTTCAATTCAGTTTTTGTTTAACAGCATGCAGATGGAATCAATTAATAATCTGTTTTTTCTTATTTGTTTTTTTTTCCCCTTCAAACTTTGGATATAATGCGTTTTGTCACAAAGCCTTTCTTGTACGTCAAGAGGAAATAACTGTTGAGCATTTATGTTTATGGCACAACCACTTGAGACGGGATGGATAAGTTTTTAAAAATTAAAATTTTGGTGGGAAACATTATTTGCAGATTGAAATTGTTTTCAATTGAATCTTACTAGTAATAGTAGTATATACTCACTTGAGATGTACACAGTAATATAATATGTAGATGATCTGTTCATTATTTTATTGTCTGAATACCCTGTTTTCTATTCTTCCATTTTTATAATGTGTGTTGGCTTGCTCAGTTTCATATATCCATCCCCTATCACCTTCTCCCCTCTATCCATCCTCCCTTCCCCATCCACCCCGCCCCCACATGTTGTGTTTTTTTGTCTCTGGGTACGTACCCTGACAACTGTACAGCACACACTTACTGTTGGCCAGCTGTTAAAGTTAAAATGTACTGAGCCAACAGCTTTGAAATTTTAAAAAAATGTGCAGTTTCGTAATCTGTTGTATTGTTTGCATGAGTATGAGATTTTTTTGGGTAAAAATTCAAATTCAAAATGTAAAAAAAAATGCAAGAAAAGCTGCACTAGGAGCACTTGTTAAAAGAATGAAATAGTTGTTTTTTTTCTCTCTTCTGAAAAATGTTGCTTTTGGCTTAAGACATTTTAACAACTTGCCAACAATATGTTCTCTAATACTGCATGACTACTTTCCTTGTGTTGGAAGCACGCTGACAGATGTTTTATTTGAAAGACTTTTTAAAATGATTCATAATAAAGAATATACAGGCAATAGAAAATGGTAGATTCTTGTTTATATATAGTGTGTGTCCACATGATGGTCCGTAACCCCCCCCC